AGGGAAGAAAGAAAGAAAGAAAGAAAGAAAGAAAGAAAGAAAGAAAGAAAGAGAGAAAGAGAGAGAGAGAGAGAGAGAGAGAGAGAAAGAAAGAAAGAAAGAAAGAAAGAAAGAAAGAAAGATCCTAAAAAAAACAATTCCATTTAGTATAAACACTTTGGAATATATTTGTCAAAGAAGTACAAGATGATATTCTTTTGGAAGGTTGAATGAGCTTTCACAGGGGTCACTTAAAGGCATCAGAAAACACAGATATGTAATTACAATTAGTAACAGTAACAAAACTACAGTTATGAAGTAACAACAAAAATAATTTTGTAGTTGAGGCCACTGCAACATGAGGAACTTTATTTAAGCATCACAGCATTAGGAAGGTTGAAAGCCACAGGTCTGACTAGAAGGAACCTAGCCAAGTTCATTCACCATCATACATACTACTGTTAATTCTATGGTGCCTTGGTAATGTTGAAGGAGGATTTGACCCACAAGGCCCCCAGATCCCTACTATTAAACTCTTTACTGGAAGAAAGGGAAAAAAGGAGTACAAGATCGTGCCCTGAAAACAATAAAACAGGGTGAGAAAGGTTTTAAAAGACCAAAATAAGTGTAAAGTTCACCTTTCTCCATGGATCCAAGGACATAATCTACAAACTCAATCTTTACTGAATCTCAGATTTCTTTTTGAAGAAATTGACCATTTAGCTAGGTATGTTGATACATACCTTAAATCCCAATACTCTGGAGGCAGAGGCAAGCTCATCTTTTTCAAGGCAAGCCTGGGCTACATAATGAGTTCCAGAAAGACGGGGCTACACAAAGAAACATTGTCTCTAGAAAAGAAATAAGACAAGAAAAGAAAGAATGCTCACCATTTTACTGTAACTTATGTGGCTTTTTACTTTTATTCACTACATTCAATCATTCGTTATTTTTTAATTTTTAAAAATTTAATTGTATAAATGTGTGTGTGCGTGTGTGTGTGTGTGTGTGTGTGTGTGTGTGTGTGTGTGTTCATTAGTGCATGCACATATGAGTAGAAATTCCCATGGAGGCCAGAAGAGGTCATCAGATCTTCTGGAACTAGACAGCTAATTATAAGCTAGCAAAAATGATCACTAGAAACTAAATTTGGATCCTCTGCACTAGCAGTATATGTTCTTAACCACTGAGCTATCTCTCCTACCCCAATTAATTTTTGTTAAGTATAATTTCATTAAGTTAAGAAAGCCCATTCTCACGTAACAAAATTGTTAAGAATTTCTTTCAATAATAAATTTACATTGGCTGCTTATTTTGAAATGATTACAGTTTTATTCTGTGAGCAACATATCATCAGCATCTTAAAGAGCAATGACTTTTCCCTTTACTGACGCAACCTTTTTTTTTTTGAGAAAAAAATCTATGAAGAGATGTGCATTCATCAAACACTGGTATAATAATAGAAAGATCACCTCTTGGAAAGCAAACAGAGAAATATCTGAGTTAAATCACATAACATCAAATGAACCTAACAGACATCCACAGAACATCCTATTCAAACACTTCAGAATATACATTCTTCTTAGCAGAGCATACATGAAACATCCATGGAATGTACAGAGATTTATGGAGACTAGACAACATACTTGAGCAATGAATTATCCATCTTAGGAATTAGGAAGGAAATTTTTAAAATCTCTAACATTCAAAGGAAAATGCAACATGTTTTTGTATACAATCCTTTGTATACAACGAAAACAGTGACAGGAAAGAAATCAACAGCTATAAGTACCTATAGTAAAAACAGTCATAAAGGTCTCAAGTAACTTAATGATACATCTTAGGTGAGGCAATCCTTCTTAAGACATAACTTTTAAATACACTGTGGGTTTTGCTGGTTGCTATGTAGTTCATCACTTCCCATACACGATGTCCATGATGATATTACTTCACAGTGTCTGCATAAACAGGGCTAAGAAGAATCCACTTATTTCTGTTCTCAGAATTCTGTTCTGTGTCCATTCTGTATAATTCTGAGAGAACTCAGTTCTTACTAGTCTGCCAAATGTGAAGGAGAACAGAATGTTTGAGTTTCCCTCCAAGCTGGACAACTTGAATTCAGTCTCCAGAGCACATGTGGTGGGGAGTCAGGCTGAATTCTCCAGACCTCCACATACAATCCTAGGTTCTAACCCTGGTGGAAGAAGAGAAATAATACCCACAGCATGCCCTCTGACTTCTCCATATGTGCCTTATATGCACTGTGTCAAAAGGAAGGAAGGAAGGAAGGAAGGAAGGAAGGAAGGAAAAGGGGTAATACATTTTAAAATATAACATACAAAAAACATTATTTTTATAAAGTTGATGAATTGAATGACAGCTTGAATTTAAAGAAAAACATTTAAAAGGAGAACTCTCAAGAGTAACTTCGAATACCTGATTTGGAAGAAAAAGTTTAAATAGCCTTAAAATATAACAAATTTGGATTTTTTCACAGTACTATATAAATTTTACTAGTGATGTGATTTTTTTCAACTATCAGAAACATCTTTAAATTCTGATTAAAAGATGTAATGTCAAATGGAGAGTGAGAGATTAAAGCAGCTATCTGCAATTGTTTCATTTTTGTATAGTTCAGTTTTGAGTTCAACACAGAAAAGAGACTTTCTCAATACACCTTACTCCACTGAAGGCAAACGCAGCTACCAAATGAGATTGGGTGTGGCTCAGCTGTAGAGCATGTGTTCCAACATAGTCAGAGCCCTGTGTTCACTAGTCAGAGATACAGAAGAAAATGGCGACTGATGCCTTGTCTGAGCAGAGGGATTGCACTAGAATTTAAGTGTTTCCTTTCTCCTGTTGACACTGATCCTCTACAGAACAGAAACACTGGCATTCAAATTCTTCCAGCCTCAAGGATAAACGCTGCAGCCTACCACTCTGCAGTCACAGGAGTTAGATGATTCTAGTACATTTTCTTCTAACCAAACTCATTTTACGAGAGTGAATTAACTTTCAGTGAGAAGTGTGACTAACCACAGGTTAGAGATACTTTATATGGAAGACACTGGGCATGAGGATTACAAGAGGGTACAAAAAAAATGTACATAGACTTATATTTTTTCCATAGTCAAAAGTTGCTCTGAGACACAGTCATTTCAACCTATCAGAAACTTCTTTTAAAACGTGCCAGTTACCAAGTATGAAGCCTGGGGCTCACCGGGCATGGGAAAGGCTCACTGAAAATGAATCAGTCTAAACACATGTTAAACGTCTGATTTTCTTTTCTTTCTTTTACTGGAGTGTAGAATCTGACTATGTAGCCTCACAGGTCTAAAGTTTGCAGTGTAGATCCGGCTATTCAGACTAGCAATCTTCCCAAGTCTGCCTAGAGGGTGCTGTTATTAAAGGCACATGCTGCCATGCCTGGCTTAAACTCTGGCTTTCATATAAGGAGACTTTAAAATAAAGCTGCTTTTCCTTTACTTACTTTATTTGCTTTAATCATCTTTCACTCATAAGTCAATATGCAACCTAAAAAAGATGAAAGGCATGTTTACCAACATCCGTTGCAAGTAAGCTTATATAGTCCAGGGAGGGAAAATAGAGAATCGGAAGGAAGTGTTAAAAAAGGAGTCCTTTTAGAAAAACATCGGACTATCTCCACACTTATCAATTACAAAAGCTAAAGAGTCTTCAAGCACAGACTCAATGTGGAGACCAGCACTAAAGGTAAATGCTAACCTTCCCGTTACCTGCAACATGCAGAAAACAGTTCATCTGATATTGTTTCCTGCTAATCTTCTGTCACATTAGAAAGGGAAGACACTCTAAAAGTAATGCTTAAGAACCTTCAGTAACAGTGAGATGGTTGGTTTTCTCTTGTTTTGTTCCTAATTTGCCTTCTCCTCCCCCAGCTGTACTCGGTGACAGTTCGGAGTCTAGGTGGGAAAGAAATGCAGAAACCTGCCAGTTGGAAAGGTTCCTCCACTTGCCAATAACTGGGGAGATGGGCTGTTGATGTACAGAGTCTTTGACTTGTGTTAAACTTGCTTTGAAAAGTCCTCCTCAAAACTAGTCATTGATTACTCCTTAGGGGATTAAAGATGTTTCTAAAATGCTCCTGCTAATATTATGCTCAAAGGCCACTGAGTCAAAAAAAAAAAAAGTGCAGTCATGAAATTTAACACTTTTGTAAGCTGGAGTGTACACACAATCTGTGTCCTTGCTCTGATTTCCAAGTCTGAGTTTAAACTCTGGGCAATTCCTGTTTCTCTCTCTCTCTCTCTCTCTCTCTCTCTCTCTCTCTCTCTCTCTCTCTCTCT